TGAAGCCATGAAATGGCTGGGTCTAAACAGAAGTGGATCTCATGGCACAGTCATGCCCTACATGCCTTTGAGATGGACACTTCAAAGTAGACAATGTCTAAGCTCATGCTACATGAATAGTTGCTCAGATGAAGATCTGAGAAAAGGGCCTGCTGAGTATCACTGTGCAGCCCTCTAGTGTCCTTAAGATCCAGTTCCCCTGATATGCTTCTGTGTAGACACATGTGTGGACTTCCACTTGCCCTTACTTCTGAGAACACCAGTGAGAGGCCACCGCCAGAGGGACCTCTTTTAAGTTAGCAATGGTTTTTCAAAGTTAGAAGCGCCATTGTTCTGTTTTTGTAAATTATCTTCCCTGTCCTGTGTGAAGCTGCATTTTTCTCCTTCCATCAGTAATGACACGCATTGTCTCCAGTCACAGAGGGTGAGTTTAGATACACAGCACCAGTTCTTCATCTCTACCATCAGATGAGACAGGGTGCTGCAGAAGGAGACAGGGATGGGCTCACAGCTCCCGAACCCCAAGGCCACTGCACACATTTTCAGGAATCTGCTTCCGTTCTTTGAAAAGCAGGCTCTATCTTTCTTCTCTAACAGCAACCCTCAGGCTGACTTCTCATCAAGTCCAATGAAACACTCAGCATTCTCTCTGAGCTAGAGATTTAATGCTGCTTCACACATACAGGAGACCTTGGATGTGTGTAATGTTGAACAGACGATTATGGCCAGCACTTGAGAGTTAGGGCACTGGAGACAATGGTGCAGAGTCCAGCTGTGACTGCCCGTAAGGCATGTGCTGAGCCAGAGCCGCCCCACTGCGGGGAGAAGACCGTGAATGCTTACTAAGACATGGTCAACTGTGCTTGTAAAGCAGGAAAACACCACCTCCACGAAACAGAAGAAATTCCGTTAAAGGCTGACCTAATGCATGCGATGGTGTCACACATGGTCACTATGGCCCATCTTGCTGGGTATAAGATCATTGCCCCCTTAAGTCTGCATCCCACTGCTTTCATAATCAGCACTATAATTTATGAAAGGGAATGATGGGTAAGAATTATTTCCAAAGCAATAGTTTCTTGTGACAGTTCAGTTATTTCACATACAGTCTATTCCTGTAGTTACTGAGTGAGGCTAAGAGAGCTGATCCCACATGGAAGCTCAGTACAGGTGAGCACAGAGGAAAATCATCCCAGGGAGCACGGAGGATGGAACATTCCCCATGTTCCATCACATGCCCATGCACATTTTACAATGACATTTTACAATAAATATCTGCTTTCTGGAAGAAATTATGAAAAATAATTCATGGATGAGACATGCATAGATTTCAGCCATCAACAGTCCATCTTTATGTAGGAAGAGGGTATAGTCACAAACAGCCACACAGCAAAGCTTTTATAGGGTAACTGAACACAAATGCCGTCCTGCAGAATTGGCTATAGGCACTTTTCAGATTCAGTTTCTAACTGCACCACCTGGTACTGAATTGGAAACATAGGAGCAAATTTCTCATAACATTTTTAATTACTTAAAACAAATATCCCTGCATCTTCATACCAAAAAGAAACCTGTACAAAAGTCTTAGACTTTACACAAAAACAAACACAAAATAGATTACATTTTGAAATATATATATATAAAATGCAAAACTTCACAATATATCTTCTAGGTCTAGGTCTAGGTAGAGCCCTTAGGCCTGACATCAAAACCGTGATCCACTTTTGGATAGTGTGAAATTTTAGCCTAGACCTAGAAAGTTTGCTCAAGAATAATTCTTTTGCCCTCAAATTCTCACATTAAGTAATAAAAGCTAGGATGTAAAAAAAGAAAAAAAATGATCCATAAAAATATGTGTTTATGGATTTAAAATTTCTGACACACAAAAGACCTTGATAGTGAAAAGAAAAGCTGAAAATATCCAGAATATCATTATGTTAGCTAGTGTTCCACTTGGTAGGACAAAATACCCAAGGCCTGAAAGTTACAGAATGAGTGCTTTGTCTTGTATCACAGTTTCAATGGGCTCAGTCAATGTCTGAACAGAAACAAGGCTCCAAAGAGAGCAGAAACAGCATCATAGAGAACAATACGGTGGAGGGAAGGAGGGAAGCTCTCAACCATGGCAGCCAGGAAACAGGCAGAGAGACAGAAAGAGAGAGATAGACAGACAGACAGAGAGACAGAGAGGGACAGAGCCAGAGCCAGACAAAGACAGAGAAAGACAGAGACAGACAGAAAGAGAGACAGAGATAGACAGAAAGAGAAACACAGAGAGAGACAGAGACAGAGAGGGAGACAGAGAGACAGAAACAAAAAGACACAGACACAGAGACAGAGACAGAGACAGAGACAGAGACCACAGACCTCTGGGTACCTGAGCACACTCTTCCAGGTAACAAGCTGGCTGGGACCCGCCTCCTTGATCAGGCTACACCTCCAAACAGCTTACTCAGCTATGTGTGCAGCAGCCCCAGTCACCTTTCCAAAGCCCCATCTCCCAACATCAGACTTCCGTGGGGCGTTTTAGATCTAAACCACAACATTCACAGCCCTGGCAAATCAACAGTGCACAGAAAATACACAGGGTTCTTAAAATTGAACCTTAAAAAATCAAAAAGTGCAAGCAATCTAGAGAATGTAGGTCAGGGACATGAAGAGCTGCATCACTGAAGAGGGTGCACAGATGGCAGAGACTCATAGGACAAGCAGCAGAGCATCCTTAGCCATTGGGATATTGCAAGTGAGCTTTAAGGAGAAATCAGCATGGGTCTGCAGAGCAGCTGCAATAGCACAGGGGACCCTGAGGGTCCCTGAGGGGGGACAAGGGCAAACTGGACTGTATATGCATGTTTCGGAGGAGCTGCTCTGAAAAACAGCATGGCAGTTTCTTGTGTAACTAATCTTGCAAATCCCCTATGACCCAGAAATTATTCTCTAGGTTTTCTGCATTCCCTTAGAAACCTGTCTGGGCCACCCTGAGACGGCAAGGAACTGACACGATGTGGTTGATGACACCTAGGTAAATCAGTCCATCCTGCCATCTAGGCTGCTCCACAAGACACAGACAAGAGCTACTGAAGAAACAACACTGTGACAACTTCCTGGGGCATAGGGTGAGTGCAAAAGGCAGCCCCAAAAGGCCATGCAATGAGGGCCCCAGTCTCAGCACAAGGAGACCATGGAAACAGAGACAGGACAGTGGTTTACAGGAACTAGGGGCGAGGGGCGTGGACGTCAGTGTGGTGACCTGAGGACTCTGTGACTTGCACTCTGATCCCCTCTGCACCAACGTGAGGTTGTTAGTGTGCCCAATGTCACGAGATGCCACCACTGGTGGCTCTGGAGAAGGGACATGAAGAATCGCTCTGTTATTCACCAAAGCCGCACACAAATACGTAATTATACTAAGGTAAAAACTTCTGTGACAGACTTAACCATTCATGTGTCAAAGGTGAAAATCTTAATGGGAAAAGAATCCATGGCATTTTATTCTGGTAATAATATTTGCAGCCGTCACATTTTGTAAGTCCTTCACATTAACAGATAGTTGAGCTATCCACCATGTGAAAATGTAGCTTTACTTTTTGTCTTTTTTTTGGCTCCGGGGATTGAACCTACGCTTGCTAGGAAAGCACTTATGCCACTGAGCTAAATACCCAGCCCCATAAAAAGTAACTTATGTTTAGCTCCTATTTAAGAAGAATATGAGACCATGGACTGCACCAGGCCCTGCCAGCCCTCCAGGGCAGACTCTCTCTAGGGAGATGTAGTGTGTGATGAGGGACCGAGTGCTGTGTGCTGCCATAGGTACTAAGGCACAGGTCCAGGTACTGAGGGGAAGAGGGGGCCAAGGACCAGGGGTGGGGCCGGCAGGAGGACCTGGCCCCAGACAGAGCCGCCCTGCCGTGTGCTGTGTACAGAGCCATGAGGCCGGCCTGGGTGTGCAGGTCAAAGCCTGCCTGTGTCCTGGTACCCATCTCCTGTGTGTCACTGAGGGCTGTCCCTGGGGAAGTGAGGCTGCAGGGGATGCACAAACGTGTGGACTGAGAAGGGACAGAAGTTGTCTCTCAATGTGAATCTCCTGTCCAGCACCATGCAGCTTGGCCTGACCATGGCATGAGGCTCCTGGGAGAGGAGACTCATCTGGAAGAAGGTCATCCAATTTCAGGACTGCGCCTCTCAGGAAGGGAAGCAGAGCAGCCTCATCCCTTGCTTGTGGTCTTCAGCAATGGGCTTTTTGGGCAGGGCCAGCTGAGCGTCCCTGGGCCCTAGCTGCCACCCTGGATATGGTCCTGACACGAGTATCTTAGCTGGAAGTGGAATTAGGTTTGTGTGGTCTTGAGTAGAAGCCAAATACTTCCATTCAGACTGGACCAGAACTCCACAGTGGGGTGGCCACTGGTGCAACGCCATGGATTCCCACTCTCCTACTGTGTCCCCAGCCATCCCTGGGCCCTTCCAGAGCAAACACAGTTCCTGAGGACCTGAGGCCACAATGACCCATGGAGGAGACCTTGTTCCGTGCTACGCCCTCAGCAGAGACAAGGAACTGAGGCAGAATCTTAAATATTACTAATGAACATCACCATGGACACAAAATCTAAAACAGAACTCCCTTGGAAACTCCAGTTTTAGCTCAAATCAATATGAGAATTTTAAATAAAGAAATCAAAAATAAATAAATGAGATGAAAAGCAAGGAAATCCTGATTAATACACTCACAGCACAGAACATATAAGAGCAGAAAGCGCCAGCTGTGCATGGTGGGCTGAGCGTCCAGGAGGGGAAGATGGTGGTCCTGGCAGGGGACGACCAAGACTCTGGCCGCAAGACAGGCAGAGGCCCTGAGACACGGGGCTGTCCTCAGAACTCTCTCACACCTCACTGGGACAGCCATGGATCCTGCGCTAGGCGGAAGCGGCCGTCTCTAACCCAGAGACGGGAGCCATATAGCTCCTCAGCCCCTCGAGCAGGGGCTGGCTTCCAGGGCCACCTACCTCTGCAGGTGGGCAGGGGGCTGCTCCACTGCCCGTTGCTCCGGCACTGGGCGCGTGAGGAACCCTGCAGCAGGTAGCCCGTGTCGCAGGTGAAGTTCACCAGGTCGTTCAGGTTGAACTCACTGCCATTGGTGACCCCATGGGCAGGGTTTCCAGGGTGTCCACAGGTGATTGCTGTGGAGAAACAGGTCATTATGGTCCCCTGGTGATCCTGAGAACAAACGCACCAGGGTGCAGGACACAGTTTCAAGCTTTGGCTCAGCCCGCAGTGACAGTGACAGGTGGTCGTGCTGGTGGAAAGGGACAGGGGACAGAGTGTAGGCTGAAACCCCACTTCCATCACGAGTGGGGGAGGAGCTACCCCGCCAGACACACTGCAGGCCTCCAGGGAGCTTGGCTTCTCCGGGTCAGGACAGAATTCCAAGTGCTTCAGGTGGAGCGCTGAGGACCCTGTCTGGTTCCCAGCCTTCCGGGAAATCTTGGCTCTAAATTTCCTCCCAGGAAATGCCTGCAGATTTTGTGAAACTTTGTTTTGAAACATTATGGGATTTTCTCGAAGTTTTAATTGTTAAAGCAAAAATTACTCCGGTCTCACTGCAAACCTCATGAAACTAGCAAGACAGCTGCCCACTTGGACCCTATTTTCCCTGACGGTGCTTATTGCCTTTGAGCGTGGTGGGCCATCATCACACCACACTGTGGGCAATGGTCCCACGTAGCTCAGAAGTCTCCTCACTGGCCCTTGGAAAAGACACACATTACAGCCACAAAACTGGTGTCTTCCTCCCCACTTCTCTTGTCAACATCTTTCTTCTTCTAAGCAAAACTCTTATCTCTGGACCTGTGCGTGGCCACAGCATTGTCCTGGACAATGCCTGTCACCAAGGATGCCAGGGCACTTTCATTTCATTCAGGGGAAGGAAAGCACACCTGAGAAGGGCAATTGATTTAAGGTGAATTTTGCCATAAGAAGAGGAGTACATGCATTCTAAAACCAGCAGCCAACATTCAATTCGAGCCATGGATTTTGAGAAGAGTCACCATGTGCAACTTCCCCTCTTTCACTCAAGGGACTCTCTGTTTCCAGGTGGTGACAACTGAAAGTGGCAAGCAGAAGAGGAGAACAGGGCAGCCTCCTGTGCTCAGGGCAGTGACAAGGAGTGAGTGTGTGACACTCTCAGGCTGAGGCCGCTGGCAGGAGCTGCTGAGCGGGTTCAGCCTGGGCAGGGGCTGGGGAGGCAGTGGAAGGAGCCAGAGTGGGGAGGGGATGGACTGGGCAGCAGCCTGGGGTCCCACCTACTCTCAGAGACAGCAGAGGGGAGCACAGCTCTCCTGCTCAGAGCCATGGGCACACTTGTGCGCGGCTGCCACACACGGGAAAGATGAGGACAGCTGGCCAACGCAGTACTCACGGACACAGACGGGGGTCTGCCCAGACCATTTGTGGTCCTGCAGGCAGATCCTGACGGAAGTCCCCACTAGCCGGAAGCCGGGATTGCACTGGTAGACCACCGTGTCCCTGTAGCTGAAGCCGTCCCCGCTGATGTGGCCATTCACGATGGGGTCTGGGGAGCCGCAGTGGCCAGCTAAGGACGGGGTGAAACCAAAAGGAAAGATGCTAGAGGTGAACACATCCTTTATGAAAGACCAAGACATAGTTAACGTGTCCTGCCAGTCATCAGCAGTGGCAATCAACAGCTCATTGGAGCTGTCCTCCCTTACCCCAAATAAACTCAGATTTTATAGTTTTTGTTCCTAGTTTGTTCCTTTTAGCACTTAACTGTTCCTCCTATTGGTATTCTATGTATTTGTGTGGTTCTATTTGCACATGAGAGTCAAGGCTGCTAAGCTGAGGGGGAAAGAGGGAGATGAGAGGAAGGGTCCGAGGAAGAGGAAGAGGGACAGGAAAAGGAAGAGGTCAGGCGAGAGGAGGAGGAGGAAGAGCGCCGAGGGCCAGGCAGCACAGGATCCCGCAGAGACCCTCAGTCCGGCAGGGTGCGCCTCTCCCCACTACCTCTCTCCCTTCCACCTCCCCTCCTCTCCTCTGCACTGCTCCTCCTTGTCTTCGCTCCTTTTAGCTTCCTCCACTTTCTTTGTTGCTCTTTTTTCTTTCTCAGTAAGTGGAAAGGCATCTTATCACATCAATAGAATTGGGAAGGCAAGTGGTACTAAGAGATCTGTGTCGTGTGTGGGTTTGGACTGAGGAGCACAGGAAGGTGCCAGGCCTGAGCTCCCAGTCATCCCCCGCCTGGTGCTTGTCCTGGACGGGTGGCCACTGGGCAGCCAGCATGCTGAGGTCTACCATGGCTTCCCTAGCTACTTCCTCCACCTGCACTGGGAAAGTGCATGGACTGTGGGGTACGTTCCTGGGTGCCTGGCGATCAGAGCTCGGTGGCCCAGGTGCTAAAGCAAGCCTGGCTTGGGCAGCAACGTGTAGGGAGAAGGGTCCCCAGCACTGCCTCTTGAGGACTCGGCACCAAGGTTCCAGAGGCAGTGAGTATGTTCTCCCACCTCACCGGAAAAAGAGAGGTAAGACAGGGTTAGGGTTACAATAGCTCAGTGGATTCATGGGGACCTCATGGCAAATACAGGCAGGGAACCCCTCAAAGCAGGCGGGGCAGGCTGGAGCCCGAGCCAAGGGCAGCAGCCCTGTAAACTGCAGGTTCAGCATCTGCAACTCCACGCTTCCCAGGAAAGGCTGGAAACTGTTCCTCACACAGGGTCCCTACTGGAAACCCACACACTCTTCCCTTGGCTGCTGTTTCCTGCGTGGTGCAGTGCAGCCATTGGGCACGCAGATCTGCGTCACACGGAGAATTACACATCCCCTAGGGCTGGCAGATCCAAGCTGGTGTGGGGAGCACTAGCAAACTCTGCACCATGTTGCCCAAGGGACTTGACCATCCCTGACTTAGGGTCTGGCCCATTCTCTACAAGATTCAGGGATGACTGTCTGCAGTCTGCAGGAATTTAAAATGATTTCTGATTTGGAATTTAATAAATCTCCACTTGCTACAGAGATTCCGTGTACCAGAGTGAGGTCCCCATTCACCAGTGCTGAGGACAGGACTGAGGCCTCCACCAGGTATGACTGTCCTTCACAGGAGCCATATGAACTGCCCCCTCCACAGGGCATTGCTATCACAGCATCTAGCCTTCCTGGCCTGTTCTGGGGTCACCTTCTCAACATGCCTGTTTGCACCGTACAAATATTAAATATTGGTATTGGGATTAGAAGTGAATCCATTTTTAGAAAATCTATAAAACAAATATTCAACCTTATTATTTGCTTTGTGATTATTGTGCTTTTCACTGACAATGAAATACGAGGCATTACAAATATCCCACACCTTGGGAGAGTTAGCCCAGTGATACACCTGCTGACCAGCTTGTCTGGTCAGTGTCTTCGGTGAAATCAGGCTTATTTGGACAGTGAAGACCAAAGCCAATTTACAGACTTTTTCTGAGTATTAATAAATGGTCACAAAATGACAGACAGATTAGGCGCACACGTGCACACACGCAGAAAAGCTAGGGCTGGCATTAAACATGCAGGATCTATTCGAATCTCCGGATCTGTGAATATTAACACCACAGTGCACTGATGCACAAGGCTCCTCTTCTCTCCAAGAGGTCGACTCTGGGCTTTCCTGTCTGGCACTGCAGAGATGGAGGCTGCTGAGGGTGAGCGCAGGGTCTCCACCAAGGACCTAATTTCTCTTCCAGGAATTGTGCTTATCACTCCTAGGAGGCCCTCGGACAGCAGCTGTTTTCTTAAGACGCGTTCAATGTAAAGTGCAAACCAGCGCTGCACTCTGCACGGTGGGTGGGGCCTCGGTCTCCCAGCTGCCTTGTTCCTTGTGTTCCCATTGTATCATCCTTTCCACCTCCTACCTGGACACACGTGGCCCCTGCCTGGGCTTTCTTTGCTGTCTTCTCTGCCTGGTGGAAGTCACAAGTCCTTCAGAACTCAGTCCGAGTCTACCCTGGGTACGTAGCCCCAACAAATCCCAGAGGGAGCTCTGTCCACCCTTCCTGACCAGAAAGCTTCCTAAGGTAGGTTTTCTCCATGATGGGTGAATGTGTCTTTAGAAACATCTATTTAAAATACAATGTTTATAAATGTTTTGCTGTTTTGCTTTGCTTTAAACTCAGCAGACAGCACTGTAATTCACCTTCTCTGTCCATCATCTCTGTTAGAAAGATTTCCAGGCACAGCTTCACCTTCCGACAAGGACAGGACTGAGCCATCACCTCACCCAGCTCAGGCAGCCCCAGTACTAGGCGCGTTTCCTGCCAGGATCCGGCTCCCCTCCTGCACGACCAGAGCCCCCACCCTGCCCATCTTCTAGTTCAAGGTCTATAACAGGGGGCCTGGATCACGAACCTTCCACCTCTCTGCAGGTCCTGGGCTCCCACTCTGGTGAGGCAAGAGGACAACACAGGGAAAACGGGGATGGGCCCCAGAGCCTCCCTGGGGAGTGAGGGGCTGTGACAGGTGGGGCAACATCCTCCAGCCAACAGAGCTCTGAGGTGCTATGCGGTGTAGACAGTAAACCAGGACAAGCCCTCGGTGATTCTGAGGACTCCAGAAGACCCTTCCACAAGTGGCAAGGAGAACCCAGGCTCAGCATGGTGCAGAGCTGCTAAGAAGGTGCAGGGAAGACATGTGCACCGCTGCCGGGACTGTCCATGTCGTTACTTACACACTCATCTGGTCCTCTGTCACAGTTCCCGAATAGAGTTCCTGTGGGGGACCTCCAGCACCAAGGAGACTTGATCTTCAGCGTGTGGCAGGAAATTAACCTCCCTGTCTTTAGATGCAGCTCTCCTACCATGGAATCCACAGGACTCATCTTGGGACAGCACTGTCCACTCATGTGCTTAGCCATTAATGTGCAATGACCGAATACTGGGCTACACATTTGTGCTGTAAATCAGCCCGTATCACATGCATGTGGCATTCTGAGGCACACAGGGGTGTCTCAAAGCAGAATTTTCACAAGAGAGCTGGATCTAAGCCAAAACACCCAAGTTATTGGCTTGTGCACTGTGATTTCATAATTTTCTCTTTATTATAAAAACTTGGAATTATTTTATTTTTTATCTTAAGGGGAATTTTATATTATTTTTATTATTTGCTTATGTATTTAATTTACCATTAAAATTTAAGAATTTCTGAATTTGTCATTTAATATTATTTTCAGTCCTTCTATTAGTATCATTATCATGCTCTAATGAAAGATATACATAAAATTTATACCATCAGCGCCATTTCTAGAGTATTTCTTAGCTCCTTGCTAATTAATAATATCTGTCAGACAGACAATGAAATGCTTTACCATGTTACGCTATGAAACCACACTGGCTCTTCCTGAGTGGGAATCTCTAGTAACTAGAAAGGGTATTTTGACTCTGCTCTACTATCATCAAAAGAATCCCCAAGTTTGGGTAGCTGACTTCTCATTGTGTGGAGCACGGGACCCTGTTCCTTCCCAGAGTTCTTCCTTTCAATCACATCTCACAAAGACACTGAAATGATGTTGGATCCCTCTGAGCCCCCATGTTGCTCAGCAGGAGTCCTGGCCAGGAGACCTGCTTCCAGTGGAAACTGAAGCTCCTGTTCAAAGACCTCTTGTCTTTCCTGGGATTCCAGCTCTGGGAGAAAGGCAAATCTAACCTCTGTCTCGCCTAGTAATTCTTTTGACATCAAAGGCAGAGCTAAGAAGCAGCCGAGCTTTCAACATTTCTTGCTTTTGTGGTCCATTATTTCAAGACCAACTCCAGTGAGTGAAGGTGGTTTGTGTTTCAGATGCAATTTACACAGCATTTTTATGGTTCCTGGCTTTCTTCATTGGATCCTACTCATGGTGTTTTGTCTGTTAAGACACTGCTCTTAAAGCTGTGTTTCCTTCTGTTGTATGTACTCAAGGAGAGTTACTTTGCTGGGAAGTTGAGTTTCCTGGGGAACCTCCATGCAACGGTGTCAGTTGGAATTCCCCACATGTTCCTCACTGGAATGATTTGTTTTTCAATTATGATTTTAGGCTGTTATCTTGTTTTGTTGGGTGGGGAAATTTATATATAGATATAGATTTCTTTTTTTTTTTTTTTTTTTTTTTTGGTCCAGGGATTGAACTCATGACCTCCTGCTTGCCAGGCAGGCACCTACACCACTGAGCTAAATCCCCAGCCTCTAGGAAATTTATATTTGAAGCCATGAAATTATATAGATTGTTTTCAGAATTTAAAAAATCGTCACCAAATGTCTCAATTGTCATGACATTTCCTGTCATGACATCTTGGTCACATCTGCCAGGTCCAGGTAATCTTGAAGTTTAACCAAGGTCACTCACCTTGCTAAAAGCAAAGAAGAGTTTTAAGAAGATCATAGCAGTGGGAATGGGCAAGTGTTAGTCAATTTACAAGTTATGAAAGGGAAGAAAAATAATGGCAAGGTTGATAAGCAGCAGCACTTAAGCATGGGGAGCAATGCAGTATGAGGCAGAAGGTGTCAGTCTTTCCTTGTATCTAAGGCTGTGAAGTCAGATGGGTGAGAGGGCTTAGCTCACTTCTAGTTAGCAGTAAATCACTCCTCCTTGGGAGGAATTAGCTCCAGAGGGCATCTGCCTTGACACCCTCCTCCTGCCAGACAGGACTCAGAAAGGGCCACCAAAGGGACTCAGGAGTTGCAGTCATTGACCAAAGGCTCAGAAGTTTTGGCTCTGTGATCACCATCTAACTTTAAGAGCTGCTTTTGGCATCTCTTAACCTCATTAAGTTGTGCAAATCCAGTTCTCTAAGGTTTTTTGCATCTGTAAATAGGGGTAATAAGCATTTACCCCATATTCTAATAAAATTAAAAATGTCTCATATATTTTAACTCATCAGTAAATGGAATCTCTCATACACCTCGTCTCCCAAAAAGGCGTGGGTCAGTTTGGATTGTGGAGGTGCCCACTATGTGCTCTGCTAGAGACACTTGCTTTATCCTGGGCAAAATGAACTACGAATCTCAACCCTGTCAGTCTCAGATGTGGTCATGAACCTATCCTGACTCTCAAATTCTGTACCCTAAATGTATCCCCTTATTTACCCATTGGTGTGCACTCTTACATAGAATGAGCCTCTCCTAATTCTTTTTCCTTGTAGATATGTTGTGTATCCCCTGATTTTGGTTTTAATTTACGCTGCATCTAATTTCTACAATGCTGTATTTGACACTATAATCTGGAACTTCTTCCTTCCTCATCTGCAGTTTGACCCCTTCTGAGGAAATAGATCCATTTCGGAGCAAGTCATCTCCCCAAAGTTTCTCTGATGCTTTGCAGCCCGCTGACGCTGGGGCCTGGGCCTCTGCAGGAGGCGAATCTTCATGCACACCTTACCTTCCCACTGCCACCCCTGCCACTTCAGAAGAGCCACGCAAAGTAGGTAAAGGTTTATGAGGGACCCAGAAGACTTGGGCTGACCCTGAGGGCAAACTCCAGGCTGCATTCCAGCCTCATCTGTGTCTTTTGCTGCCTATGGTAAGATAAAGTCAGGAACACCACCACTGTATGGGTTAGAGTAATCAAATGCCACTTACTGATGTATAGCCCTAGATTGCTATCAGACACATGTGTGTTTCTGTCACCTTAGTGCTGAGGTGACAGAGAAGGACTAGCCACCTCACAGCAGCCCACAGGAAGGTGCTGCTCAGTGGCCACCAGCTTCATGGAACAGCTAGGAAATTTCAGGAACTCCATGGTGACCACAGGAGGAAACACTCCTTCCAGTGGGGCCTCAGCCTACTGGAGGCCGAAATGACTACGCTGCCGATGAGCTGCAATACCTATATCTGCATTACGTAACTATCATGTTAATAACTGTAATTCATTAAGTACCTCTGACAATGGAAAGGTAAAACAGACACAAAGATCGCTTAGGCAGCACTCATGTAAGAACTGTGGCAATTCCCAGTCAGTGGGACACTGCACGGGGAAGGGGAGCACTTTCTCTGATGGCTGATTTCTCTGCGGTCACAGCTTGAATTTTTTTTTCTTTAAATTTCACCCACTTAAAATAATTTAATATTCCAGGTTTCCTAATCCTGAAGCAATCCTGTCCCAAGAAGATTCAGAAGCCTAGACTCACCAGTGCCACCGACCACAGAAGAGGTTCAGAGAGACACAGGTGGTCCAGGTGTTTCAGTGACCTTGCACCTATAGGGGAACCACCACTGTCCTTCCAGAGGCCCACTCCGCAGTCTCCGTGCATTTATGCAGAACACCAGGCAGTGGAAATGCCCACAACTTATCAGACGTTAATATGCAGTATATTTTAATCTTTGGGGGAAAGGCAGATTACTACAGATATATATTTTTTAAATAATTCCCTCCACTTACTTAGATTTCAGTTAATGTTGTTCAACTTCTTGACAATTTTTAAAAGTTTATTAGTCGTGTTTGTGATTCATAATGACCACTTTCACGGTGGGTATTTGGTATATGAACAGGACACCGCTGGATTCTTCTTCCCCTTCCCTTCCTTCCCTGCTCCCCCTTTCTTTTGCAGAAGCTCTATCTCCCGTAATTCTTCTGACATTCACACTTATGCTTTCCAACATCGCCACAGTTTTGACTCTAGTTACATTTTCAGTCTTTTAGAGAACAGTTTTTATGTCACACAAAGCAACACAAGACCACCCCTTATTGCTCGGGTTAAAACTGATGTCCTTCTAGATCCATCAGGAATCTTCCAGGGCTCTGTGCAGGCAACAAGAGCTCCATGACTGGACTTACCCAGACATCTTGTCTCAGAGCCGCTCCAGAGGCCGTTGGCCAAGCACTCGCGCACGTGCGAGCCCACCAGGGTGTAGCCCGTGTTGCAGGTGAAGATGGCGGTGGCCCCGAACACCGTCAGAGTGCCGATCTTGTTACCGTTCGGGGGAAAGGACAGGCTGCCACATGAGATCACTGGAGGGAAGAAGGGACATTGCTTCAGGCTCTCATGCTTAGAACAGGGCAGAAAGTTTTGAGGGTTAGTTAGTGCTCCTTACGGCATGGAGCATGGAGCCCTGCTAGGGGTGGTGTGAGGGGCATCATCGAAAGCTAATTTTTCCTTAGTCCGTAACATGAAAACCAGAATATCACAAGTGGATTCCAAAATATTCTACATCCTCGTGCTTATCTACTGCTCCTTTCTCCCCCTCATGGGCAGTTTCTTAATAAAAACTGCAGTCTGCAAACACACCTGTTAGACAAGGTGGGGCCACCTGTTCACCCATCACCAATCTTAAGAGCAACATCACTGCTCAGGGCTCTTACAGCAGCCTGTCAGGAACCTGGGAATGCTAACCATCTTTGTCATTCAGGTGGGTGAGGGTAGGAAGTGTGGCATGAAAATTCAGCGCTTTGGATACCAAAGATTTGATGTTTGTGTTTCCTGATTTGTGGGCATTGTGAGCCCCAGTGAATGACAAGCACAAAGGCACGAAGCCTCAGAAACTTGTTTGGGTTGTACACAAACGGTACCTACTATGATCATGGGTAGGGTGACTGTGAGTCCCAATGTGACCATATCTGATGTCCCCACACAGCACTGAAGTGTGTCCACTGTCACCCACAAAGCCACTGCACTGGGGAGACACTTTAGAAGTGGTCTGACACCACGCACACCTCCGTGCTTCAAACCCATGAACACTTCAGCGCAGAAGGACCAACAACCTCTGGGAGGACAAAGACTTCACATCATCAGGCTGGCTGACCACTGGAAGCTCAGGTGGACACCTGCCCTTAAGAACAGCTTGTCCCAGGAAGCACTGTGGCTGAGGGGTCAGAACATGTGTGATGCTGGGCGGGGCAGGGCACTCAGCCCTGAGTCCCGGCTTGTGCTCAGAATCAGGTGTCACAGGCAGTAAAGCACAGTGACAAACAGAGGCTGAGTATTTCCTCCATAATGAAATGCCACAGCTAGATACATCCACATGATTTACAGTCATCATATCAATAATCATGGTGACCCAGGCTCCATGCCGGCTCTGCACGTCTCCCGAGACGAGACTGCAGCCCTGGGAGGGTGGAAGCTGCCCCTGCCAGGTGGGGGAAGGTGAGATCATCGTGCAAATCCACGGCTGGCACACATCCAGGTCAGCAAGGGCCAGTGATGGGGTCATGCCACACCGGGACCCAGAGTGTGCCAACCCTCCCAGATAACTCAAGCAAGGAAAACCTCAGTGCACACACTCCTAAGGCCACCCCTTTTGGTGGAGCCACCCGTCCTCTAAGATGTGAGCCTTGCTGGACTTAGAATGGCTGGTCAGTTCTGGCATGGTACAAGGGATCCGGGAGCACACCATGGGCTGAGAAGCCTGCAGCGTGACCAGCTTGGGGCCCCACAGCCTGTGTGTGTGGTGATCCGTGGGTGTGGCTCCTGCACCAAGCATGCTGACATGGTTTATACAGTCTGCTGTGCACTTTTCTCTATACCTTTTCCCAGTCACAGCATGACTGTCGCTGTGAATGATGATGTTTAGCAACCATTTTTAGCCATTTAAGTGACTGAGTCATGTTTTGAACTGTAGCACCCATTGGAAATGTGTTCAGGAGCCACACAGGGTGAGTGCATCTCCAGGTCTCCAGTGCTGGACCAGCCAGAGGGCCTGTGCCTCTCTGCAGCCTTCTTGATGCTGAAGCTGCTTTAAGACCATCCTCTAATCAGGTTTACTCAACTGCAAAGAAATAATGGAGGACATCTGGCTTCTCAGCAGCTGGATAAGAGACTCAGACCCAGAGTTTCCTATAGGAGAAAACCCAGTTTGTTAGGGGGGATGGGGAAGCCATGATTCAGGCAGGCCCGGTTTAAGGAAGGAGAGCTCGCTGGTGGCGAGAAGGACCCTTGTCAAGCGCAAGCAGAGGTCTGATCTCCATGCTATTTTCCGCTCACAGGTTTCCAGCAGTGAATTCACTGAGTGTGTTCTTCCTGCCATTAAGAATGCAGGGGTGCTCACCATCTGCAGGGCTCCCTCCGCGCTCCTGGGGAGACTGCAGGTGACAGGATTGTAACACTGGGATCCTGCTCAGGCTCTGTACTCCCTTTCCCTCCCTGGGATGGAGCCTCTGCCGCACAGCATGAGGAGGGTTCTTCTCCTCTTTCTCCTCCTCCTTCTCCTCCTCCTCGATGTAGCTCTGAGCTTTCACCCTGGCTGAAATCTGCTTGAGAGAGTCTGCGCTGGGGCCTCTCAGTTTTTCCTTCCCGGGGGGTCAGCAATGCAGACACTACAGCCATCCTCTGTGGGAGCCTATGATTAACATGGGGGCCATAGAGACCAGAGTCTGGAACCACTGTGAGGTCTGTGTCCATAGCTGCATTCGGCCTTCAACGTGCATCAAAAGAACACCCTGGTCTGTGCAAAACTGTTGGAAGCTGAAACCAGGAGTCTCTGGACAGTGAGCCATCACAGAACACTGGATGTCAGCTGGGCTTTTTTCTTGTGAGGATATCAGGAGTGAGATTCAGTGTAAGGCCAGGCCAGGTGGAGCTGCCTGGGCACTCTGGTACAGGGCTATGATGCAGGAGGCGGCATGGGTGCTGCGGTGTTTGGTGATGAGTCCAGGTTAGAGGCCACTATCAGACAAGAAGCTACCAACATCCAGCCTGCTCTCTTTGCTCTGCAGTTTGACCAAGGACTCCTTTTAGAAAACTCTTAAATTAGCAGTTAGGGAGAGATGCCTATTCCACAATTTAGGTAACACTTTGTGTAGCTGAGAAAATTTCAATGGAGCTTGTCATACCTGTGTGTGCCTATAAAATTTAAAATGAAAAAATGATCTTTTCTGATCATGGAGTTCTGCAAAAAATGCATTTTTACTTTTAAAATATAAACCCTGAGTCAAACAGTAAAGCAATGGCTTGCTATTTCACGATAATTTTGATCTGGAAAGGCTCAGCTCCATGCTGAACGTCCATTCTTTTACCGTGGCCTGGGTTTTGGGCTGCACAGCCAGCAGCTTGGGGTGAGACCAAGGTGTCTGCTCCCTCCGTTGGAGAAGGCAGCCTGCTGTGTGCTCACAGGGATATCCTAGGGTGGGGGAGGGCTGGCTCTCTGTGAAGGGGGCGGCTGCTGGCCTCTGTAGGGGTGAATGTAGCAGGGAAGTGCCGGGGTAGGCAGCGAGCAGCAACACAGGAAACCCCAACCCCTCAGCAAAAGTGCCCAGGAGCACTGAGTCCCTGGATGTCTCTGCAAGGCCGTCTGGGAGCCACACACAGACACCTCGAGGTCTCCAGGTGACTCCCTCGCTCTGCCTGGTAGACTGCTGTGCCAACCAGCAGTGAGCCCACCACAGGCCATGGCCAGACACAGGTCATTTCATTTCACTTAGAAATTAGGAGGCAGTGGGCTCCCTGGGGTTTCTGTGGATCTGCTGAGTCATGCGGTGCATTATCAGAGGACTTCACTTGGTGCTCTGCCGTGTGCCTGTCTGCAAAGGGGGGCAAGAGAAGGAAGGGAATTCGAGCATGAAATGCGAGGAAAGAGTTACAGCAAAATGAAACAGCCTGTTTCTTGGGCTTTTCCTTGACTGTCCTAGAAAATAACATCATCTTAAGATTGTAAAATTATTTTTCATTTTACATTTTATATTTGTTTTCTGGTTTTATTTACCTGCTTATTTGTTTAGTTTTGGTTTTTTGTGTTACTGGAGAACTGAACTCAGGGCCTTCTATGGAGCTACATCCCCAGCCTGCTAAGACAGTTTTGTTTTGAGACAGGGTTTTTGCGGGTTATGAAGTTCCCCAGGCAGGGATTGAAATTTCAACCCTCCTTTCTCAGCCTTCTGGAGTCATGGAGTAATATGTGTGAACCACCAGGTAAGACTACTTAATGTTTTGAGGTTAGATAGCATCTCAAACATTATTTTGACTCTGTGTGTTTCTGATATTTTCAGTTGATTTTTGAGAACGTATAGGATTATGAGCCTGAGGAACTCAATATTTGTCCTAAATAAATAAAAATAGTAACAGTAGATACTGAACTGGAGGCAGCCATGAGAGACCCGTGGTGATGCTGGCATCAGCAGAAGTAAACATTAGAGTCCATCCCAGCATGCAAGCTGCTGTGCCCACCCATGCAGGGCCTCTCCTTGGACTCTTGGTGCTCAGGACTCTGAGACCCAGTGCCCAGATCCCAGCCTTCCTGTTCTGAAGGAACTGAGCAGCACCCAGTTTATTTCTCTCTGAGTCTCTGACACCTTTCAGGGCCCACAGCATTGCCCTGCAGGCCTGAGGGGGCTGCTGCATGCATCCAACATGCCAGCCTCGCTCCCTGCAGGTGCCGGACCCTGGGCCCGGGTCACTGCACAGACCAGCACGAGGCAGGAACTGCGGGTGGGAGCGGCCCCGGGACTGTGGGCGTCACCTGGGCTCACTGGGACATCTGAACTTCCAAACTGCAAAACAGGATGCAACAAGCCCTTTTGTTGGGATATTTAAAAAAAATTCAATAGGAAGAGAAATAAATTGGCAGTGTCAGCATTGGGACTTTGAGGGAAGCCATACCAGAGAGACACCCTGGTCTCTAAGTAGGCCCTGCCTGGGCGCCTCAGAGAACCTTAATGCCACACTGGGTCAGTCAGACAGGGTCAAGTGTGCACGGGACATCTGTCTTCACGAGGAGCAGGAGTCCCAAACACATCAGAGGGTCGGGTTGAAGTTACCTTCTTGGGTGCACATGTGTCAGCTCTTCTTTACTTACTGTTTCACTCTTGGTTTTTCTTACTAAACTGTGTATTTTACAAACTTCACACTGGTCCAGGACCCATTTCTGTGCATGGTAATTTACTGCTTATAATCAACTAAGGATCACGTGTGAGAGATGCCTGACGCAGACAGTGCTCCAGCAGCACCCGCGCTGTCCTACTCCCTATGGACTCATTCATCAGGACACTCGAGTGTGGACTGAACTGTTTGTATCTCGCTGGAGAGAATGACAAGCCCCCTCTTCAAGTCAGCCCTGGAGAGAGCACAGAGTACTCAGCAGGAACCTCGACCCCAGACCCTAACGAGAACTTCTGCAGGGGAGCGTAGGTAGTGTTTTGAACATGCACTCTTATTCATCCCTGAGCTGATGTGAAACATCCTTATAGCTTAAGTTTATAAAATATGATCACTAACGGGGACACAAAGCTTTCACTGTGAGGGTTGTGCACCCAGGATGCCGCCCACCCCAGCTAGGAGCAGCAGACTATGCCTGGTCTGTCCAAACCCCCAGGAGGCAGTGAGGCCTACAGCGGGTCCTGACCCCAGGGTTGGGACTCCTGGGCAGCCCCACTTACCTCTGCAGCGAGGCCTCTCGTCTCCCGTGTTCCAGGTCCCGTTGGCTTGGCACTGGAGCAGCCTGCGGCCCTCTAAGTAGTAGCCAGGGCTGCAGCTCAGCAGGACCTGGGCCCCATACTCATTCAGTGACCCGGACACCAGCCTCCAGAGGATGTGTTCAGACAGCTGCGCCTCGATGCTGGGGCACAGCACCGCTGGAAAGGAAGAGGGCCATCAGCTGTACTCTGCATATGTGCGGTCAGGGATCCCACATGGGGGTGTAGGGGTCCTTCTGCTGCCCACAGGTAAGATGCAGTCAGTGACCACTGTTGAGGGCGAGGTGGCCTTGAAGGCGACTGCTGCACATGAGGGTGCACACCAAGGTGGGCCGCTTTTGGGGCAGGGGTGAAACTCCATCAGGAGTGTACACTGTTTTCAGCTCCTGATAGCCTGGGAGCAGTGACTGAAATCCAGTTTGTAGATTAATTTCCATAAACCAGAGCCCATCACACACACACACACACACACACACACACACACACACACACACACAGTGCCCATCTGCACGTCAGTGACTCACAAGCACAGACAGAGATGCAGTCACTTTTGTTACAGAGCTAATCTTCCTGCCTGACCGGATGTAGCCTACTGAGATCTCAGGAAAAGACCTGGAGGCAGCAGCTGCTGCACAGAGCCGTGGGTGCCAGGCACAGGGGTGGCAAAAGCAGCAGCTTGCTTAGACACAGAGGTGCGAGGCCACCCTGCCACTCCTGCGGCCACGTGATTCATGGATTCTTTAAAGTCTGTGCAACCTAGTGGTATGGTGAGCATGTGCTACTCTGAAAGCACGGCAAGACTGAGGGTGGATTGCAGGAGTTAAAACCTAGTGTGATACGAAAGTCTCAGCCAGCCCCTCCCAGTAATTTAGCAGTCCTGAATGCACATACATTTAAAAAGAAGGCTTTTGGCACTACAACAATAGTAAAATCCATTTGTTTAAAACTTCAGCAAATGGTAATTAAAATTCTCACACTTATTCCATTTAGGTATTTTTAGATAAAGTAATTATTTGTTTTGTGGGTATTCAACTGTTTTACCTACCAAAATAAATTAAACCTCTCTCTGGCCAGCAGCACACTTTCAGAATTTGCACCAAGATTGTCTTTTCTCAGAAGCTCTCAGTCTTCTAACTCTGTTACTCCATTAGAATCCCAGTGTGTGTTTCGAGACAAAAGCATTTCATTTCAACAAAATGCGTGCTTCCAGAACGGACTTGGGAGTTTCAGTTACTTACTCTCTTTTTCATCTTTGTTTTTGCCAAGGACTCAGCTTCAGCTCATACAGTGAGTACAAAGGTGCCCTGGAGCCAGCACTGTGCGTAGGGAAAATCTCAAACTCTCCTTTGTTACCTCTTTCTTCATGAAAATGAGATTTGCCTTGCTTTTTAGTCATCTTATTCAACTTTGTTGCATCTCTGTCCATTAGGCTGTAAGCTCTTTTTAGTAAGCATTGTATCTTTTCACAGTTTTTCTTGAATGTAACATCTGACGAGGTACAGATCACATTTACACTTAAATAAGGGTGCACAGATGTGTAAAATTTTGAAAAATATCATGCATAGGAAATACTACTGCAGCACAAAATGCAGAGAGACCCCGCAGAGAGAAGCACGTGTGCAGGGATGGGAAGTGCAGGGGTCCCTCCTCACTCCAAGGAGAGAATCTCCAGCCCTAGTGGATGCCTGAAACCAAGGACATACTCAGCATTGTTCACCTCTTGATGTTCCATTGATAAACATGGTACCAAAGCAGAGACAGAAACAAGTAATCAAATAACTATAATAATCCTGTAGCAAATGAAATCTTTCTGCCCCATCCAAGACAGAATGTTCTGTGATGCCATGGACATCAGCAAATACGCAAGCAACCCGTACAGCAGGGAACACAGTGTAGGGGAGATTCAGAGAGAGAGAGAGACAGACAGACAGATCTGCTCAGGCAGCACAGTGATGCCAGCACTGCTCTTAGCCTATGGAAGAGTGGAGATTTCAGAGGCGGGTAAACACTGTAGTTTCAGTCTTCTCACTCTGACCAGCGGGGGAGAGAGCACCACACCTACATCCTTTTGGGAAGATCCATGGTGTAATACAGTGGTGAAGTCCTGAGGGTGCAAACCCAGACCATGTGAGGGACTGTGGCGACAGGGGCGTGGTCCCTGGTGGGTGAGCCAGCAGTCCACAGGGAGGACCCGCTCTCATTTCCTGCGGCTTGTGAAGCATTGTTCATCCCCCAAAGAACAGGATCCTGCTACTCGCCACAGTGTGGGTCAGCCACGAGGACAAGATGTGAAGCAGACAGGAAAAGAAGAAGACTTCATCTAAGGCTAAAGACTGCCGCACATGGGGTTGTGGCTGACGAGGTGATTTCCACTGTCCTTGTGCTGAGACTCAAGACAGGAGGTGGGAAACAGAGGTCCCCCCTTGCCAGCCCAGTGCTGGGTGCCCAGTGAACAGCCTGACCAGCAGAGGACAGAGGGTCAGAGCTGCTCCTAAGATTCCCACTGTAGCTGGGCATGGTGACACACTCCTGTGATCCCAGCACTCGGGAAGCTGAGGCAGGAAGATCATTGCTAGTTTGAAACCTGCCTGTGCTACAAAGTGAGCCCAAGGCCAGCCTGAATTGCATAGTGAGACTCAATCTCAAAAAGACCCCCCTCCCCCAAAATGAAAGATTCCCACTGGAACAGCAAAGGGTCCTTCTTCCTTGTCTTTTCCTCCTCTTTCTCTTATTTCAAGGTGAGAAGCAAATCACCTGCAGCCTGGCTGGGGTAAATATTGTAGTGCGGAAGTATTCAAATCTTGCTATGGGTTATGTCCCTGTGTCCTGTCCAATAATTCCCACAGCCAACCCCTCTTTAGGAGCATTAACTTCCAAGCTTGGGGTGTGTGGCTTGGAGATTCAGTTTCCCTCTTGATTCTGATGACTGAGTGGAGAAAATCCAGGTGTGGGCAGCAATCCAGGATGTGCATACTTTTAAGATAAAAGCACCAGTGACACAGATCCATGATGATTCAGATACTTTATGGAAGATAATATTCTGTCAGGAGACTTGGGAGTATCATATTCATGTAGGGAAATTTAAAAGAAATATTCTGTAACTTCTTCAGATCATTTAAAATGTGTTAGAAATTTCTACAGAAATTCCAGAGTGCAAATTTTTCTGTTCTTTTTCTCTGTGTAGAATTTTCAAGTGTTTCTGTGGTGATCAGTTACTAACTTGTGACTATCTCTGTACAAGAATTTGTTTAATAAAAAAGGAAAGCAAGGTGGAATTGGAAGGTTTCACAGACTATGCAGAATCTCTGTTTTGAATCTCATAAATGAAAACTTCACAAGGTCCAAGCGAATTATTTAGAAAATCTTCAAATAAGCATAAAATTTTTAAAGATTAAATGTGTGTACACTATACACCAAACATACAGGTGTGGAAGTGCAGTGTAGTTTCTTTGTAGCATGGGAAGTTAGTACAGAATGAGCAAATCAATCCTGTTGTCTGTGTCACTCTGTGTCACTGCCTCCAGGGCCCAAAGGACAGACCCCGGTGATGCCACCAGAGAATGTGCCCCATGAAAACTCACACCCTGACCTCCTTCTAACAGCGCTTAGCATTTTTATAACTCACGTGATTTAATGTATGATATGATATGAGGAATCAGGGTGTGCTTCTTCTCTGAAAGGGCCAACATCGTCATAAAGTTTGGGGGTCCCTGGCTTGGGACCGCACCGTCCCGCATCTCTGAAAAGGGAACACCTGGTGCCTCAGGGGCATTTCCTCCAGGAACTCCTACACAGCAGGAAAGCGCCCAGTGCGCCTGCAGTCCTCAAGTATAGGTCTGTCCAGGGTTGTTAGATGAAAGGACAGATGCCAGGTACCTCTGTTTCGTAAAATGGGTAAACTTGAATTGTGAGAGCTCTCCAGCATAGGTACTAGTTAGATGTTAACATGCACAGATTGGCTTTTTACTCTCAGAGCTGGGGGACGGGGACCTGTAGATGGTTAAAGAAGGATGGGGGCCGGGGTTGTGGCCAGTGCCTGCCTGGGAAGTCTGAGGTCAGGAGTCTGATCTCTGATAACAAGAGAAAGAAAGAAAGCTAAAGATTATTGTGTCCTAATACAGCAAACAAAGGAAATAACTGTGGGAAAATAAATTTCAAAAGCTAATAAGGAAATAATTTTCTGGCTATGAGTTTAAGTTTGTGTTTACCTGCCCGATTTCTTTAATTTAAATGAACTTAAGTAAACAACTTACATCCAAACAAAAGTAAATGTATTTTCCAGCCTTTGAAACCTAAGGGATTTTAATAAAATGTCCATGTTTACATTATAAAATATAACAAATAATGGGGAGGAACAAGTACTGGAAAGTTTGAGGTATTCAAACTGATATTCAAGAAAGGTTAAAGCAAATTTTCCATTTTTTAATAAAACTTTTGTTTATTAATTTTGTTAATGAACCAAAGGCAGTTAGCACCAAGATGGGCTTTTAAAGGCAAGCTGCCTCTTTCAGTGGAACAGCCTTTTGGGGAGCACACTAAGCTTCTTACACACATGGAGGGCAGCTGTGCATCTCAATGTTAAAGCACCTGGACCCAAAGAGCTATTTTCAAACACACTCCAGTATACACAGAAGCTGAACTGCTGATGTGCTACCTTACATTTCTTTAGTAAGCACAAGGTCCTTTTCTTTTTACATTTTTTTTGTCTTTTTCATTTTTATCAGTACCAGAGATCGAACTCACGACTTTTCTTAATTTGCTGTGAACTGCAAGAGGCTTCTCATTGCTGATCTCTGCGGAAGCTGGAGGCAAAGATACACAATGTTCCTGCAGCCATGCGGTGCCCAGTTCCCCACAGAAGAGGGTGCGAGGTCGGCCCTCAGCTGGACTCACCAGACCTGAAAACGGTCAGGGTTCATCCATTTCCAGCGGCCACAAAGCCTGGGAATTAGAAAGGCAGCTTTCTCCCCAAGTTTCCCTGAAACAAATCCCAGTGTCCACGGCCTTTAGCAAATCACTGCACCAACCTTTCCATGCCTTGTCTACACAACCATGCCAATCGCAGGAATCTGTGGAAGCTACTGGAACTCTGGTCAGAAGGGGCATGGGGTCCTCGGAGTGGTATACATCCACCTTGTGTGGGGGATGAAGTCCACTTCTGTAACATCCAGTTCCCTGTTCCTGCTTTGGAGAAGTGACCTCAATGTGAAAAAGGGCTGGGAATGCCACCCCACTTCTGTGAGACCTTGGGGGTTTCTGGCAGAGGGGTTTCTGAGTTGTGACTTATGTACATGAAAGATCCCCCAGGCTGCTGCTGGAGACAGAAGGAGAGCAGATGCCTAGTCAGGGGGTGCCCCTGCAGGGCAGGTGGTGGCCGGCATAGTGTGCAGAGAAGCAGGACACAGAGATGCTTTGGGGCAACAGCTGCAGAGCTCCGGGTTGTACTGGTCCCAAGTGAGGTCTGAGGAGAGTGTCCAGATTCCGACTCTGGGTTTCTTCCACTCTCTAGTGGGAGCAGGGGAACCTCACAGACTCCATAGCGGCTTCTGTTTGCCTTTTTCAATCAGATTCTACCTTTGTTCCCTCTCTCAGGGCATTCTGGGAGCTAGCTCCCCTTACACTCTGCTCAATGGGTACGAAACCAGTCAGCACAAACTGTTGGTGCCCCTGGTCAGTAAGACAGACACAGCCTCCAATCACAACTCACAGAGCTGAAACAGACCCCAGGGAGACCTGGGGCACAGGCTCTACCCTGCACATCAGGTAACAGGCTGGTCAGTAAGACACACAGAGCCTCCAATCCCAATCCACAGAGCTGAAACAGACCCCAGGAAGAACTGGGATGCAGGCTCTACCCTGGAACATCAGGTAGCAACCCTAGCGCAAATTCTGCTCCACTGTGTCCTAGTGGACACTCTGCATGCTGCAGGAGATCCGCAGGCAGAGGGCTCCATCCACACTGTGTCACAGTGCATGACAGCACACCCTGCCGTCATACTCCATGGGGAAGCCCACAGTCCTGCCAGGTGGGACACAGTCACTGTGTGGTCTCTGCCCACAGCCTCTGTATGTAACTACATTGCTTCCACACAACCTGACCTCTGCTGCACTTCTCTGCAAGTTTAAGCAGGACTGACACAGTCTATGTGGTCACAATTAAAACTTTGCATGATTCAGTTATTTGCTTTGATTAAAGCAGTATGATAACGGGGTGGCTGTGAAAATCCAGTGGTAAAGCCTAACCCTTGGGGTGTGTTACACCTCCAGCAGGGTTTCTGCTGTCCTCCAGGCCCCTCCTGGGTCCTGCAGCCCTCTCTGCCATGTGCCGGTCACTCCTGTCAATTCATCCACGTCAGTCAGCAACACTTGCCGGCATTTTATGTCTGGGCTCTTCATGGCCGTTTTGTCTCACTATCTCTCTCTGCCTCTGGGCCAACACAGGTTGTCAGAGCGAGGCTGAGTTCCTGTTCCCCTAACTTTCCCCAGTTGGTTCTTATACTGCAGCTCTGTGGCTGATACAAATTAAGTGGATGGACATCTAAAGGCCGGCCGTAATACAGAGCTACAAATTGGGGGGCGTGCATCATTGCTTGACCCAATGATATGTGGTTTAACAGAGAAGCGCAGTGCCCAGTAAGGTGAAACCTTGCTTGTGCACTGCGTGCTCTTCCTTAGAAGCAACCGAAATCACCGTGATGGGATGGAGGCTCCGCCCATAGGGCTGACCCGAGGCAGGACAGGAGGCACCTTGGTGTCCTGCACTCAGGGCAGGACAATGCTGTACGGATGAATGCTGACGGCCACTGAGATGGGGTGTTTCTGGGTGACTGTCAGGAAAAACGACTTGTAGCTTTAAAGATACAGAACCACCCATTCTATAATTTCCACATCAGTCGGGGCAAGCAATTTGATTTACTAAAATCCAGTCGGTCCCTGTAAACATTTACACATAACAGCAAGACTTGTTTTGTAGGACACCAGAAAATCTACCTTTCATTAAGTTTCTAAATAATTGAATTCATATTAAATACTTCATGAAAAGAGTATCATCATGTTATACTCTATGTTAGCCAAATAAAAACAGATATCTGAAGACTCTGATACTAGCAAAATAATGGCCACACAAGTCCATGGAACAGAGCAGAAAACCCAGAAACAGACTCCCCAAAAAACATTTGTCTGCTGATAGAGGAAAAAGGGAACAGCAGAGAAGAGACAGTCCTTCCAGGAAATGAGTGCAAAACTGCAAAAACTGATACCCACAAAGATGAATCTGGACCCAGACCTTACATCTGCAGTGAAAATTAATTCAAAGTGAGGTGCAGAGCCACATGTCATTGCAGGTAACTAAATAAATATCTCAGAAGACACTACACAAAATCTGAATGGTCAGGAGTCTGGCCCTGACCATAAAAGAAAACACTGACACTAAAATTAGTACTTCTGCCCTGTGAAGCCACTGATAAGGAACATGATAACAGACTTCACACCAAGAGAAAATATTTGCAAAATGCACAGCTGATACAGGACTGTAATCTAAACTTATAAACAACTCTTAAAACTCAGTGACAAGAAAATGAGCAGCTGGGCTGGGGATTTAGCTCAGTGGCATTAAGCGCCTGCCTTGTAAGCAGGCAGTTGTGAGTTCGATCCCTGGTACCGATAAAAAAGGAAAAAGACAAAAAAAAAAAAAAAAAAAAAAAAAGAAAATGAGCAGCTGATTTAGACTGTGGAAAAGACTCTCACAGTCAGCTCAGTCACCTCACTAAGGCAGAAGCAGATCATAAGCCAGGATATGGAAAGATGCCCCACACCTGGGTCATGTGAGAAACACCTGTTACAGCAGTGGGACAGCGCCGCACACCTGTCTGAAGCACCAAAGCCCAGGCCCCTCAGAGGCAGGAACCCTGGCCCGGCTGCGGGAACACACACAGCCACTCTGCAGGATGCTGGCAGTCCTTACAAAACCGAAATGACTCTCACTGTTGCTCCATCAATCACACTGTGGAATGAAAGGGGTAAAAGTAGCGAAACCCAAATCAGACTCCACACGCGTCACTTCCCCTAGTCTGAGGACTCATCAGTTTCCTACTGTTTTGGGGTTTGTGGAGTTTTCAGACGCACTGCTTGGCTCACCTGGGCGCTCAGGGACACTCAAACCCAGCAGGCCTGGCCCGGATGACCGCAGGCTGTGTGCAGGACACAGCCATTCACAGAGGCCCAAGACAGCTGGCAGGGTGGGGTCTTGCATTCAGAGGGTAATGTGTTTAAGGATTCAAATAAAAATAAAAATAAGCCAGAGCAGTGATCTCATTACATCCTCATAGTAGTGCTTGTTATAAAACAGTACCTTACTTTGTAAAAGTAACCAAAACATTAATGCTATTTAAATACTGCATACGACTCAAAATGTAGTAATATGATAAAGAAAAATCCATGTGGAAGCAAACTCCTTTCCACAAATACTCATATACTTATATGCAAAGTTCAAAATGCTTTAATGTAACCAAAATGCTCAGGTAAAGACAAACTAATTTTGTAATTAAAGATCCCTGGCTCTCTGCAGCTAACATTAGAACTGCATTGTCCTGGCATATAGAGAAATATTAGGTGGATTTCAGCTGAGGGATTAGGAGGACAGAGCACTTCCAATTAAAGATTTTTAAAAAATATCTAGAGAAGCTGGCTATGGGCATTTTGTACACATATGCATGGTGTGTGTGTGTGTGTGTGTGTGTGTGTGTGTGCGTGCGTGTCTGTGTGTGTGTGTGTGTGTGTGTGTGTGTGTGTGTGTGTGTGTGTTTTCTATTTGGTCTGTGATAAACTTTGTCATTTTTTGAGACTAAAGCTTTACATCAGACCGGACTTTTGGTCCTGTATGATGATTACCACACACTATAAAAGCTTCCTAGAAACCTAACCTCACTTCTCCATCTCATATGTGCTTTTTCGAGCACCCTCACGTTCTGCAAACATAGGTAACACTCACAAAAACCAGGCATGCTGGGAATCACACAGGGGTGAAAGACAGGCTGACGTAACAGGGGCAGTGCCTTGCTGGTTCTGTGCCTCAGTGTCCCCAGATGGACACACAGTACTGGACACACTGGTCACAACACTCAGGACCAGCAGGCAGCATCTGGCTGGCTTTCCAGGGAGCACAATCATCCTCATGGCCAGATCCCTCTATGTGGAATAAACCAGCTGTTTGCACTGTGACGAGACAGACTGTGTGGGAGGGGAGCTTCCTTGGAACCTGGAGCCCTGCCCTGTGCATTTGGTTCCCAACTAAACCCACAAAGATGGGCAAAGACTCTGGAACACTCACGTTTGCAAGCAGGCGTCTTCCCTCTGTTGCTCCATGTGCCATCTTCCCTACACACCGCGCTTGCTTGTTGACTGGCTTCCAGCCTGAAGCCCTCGTTACATTCGTACATGACTTTATTGTCCAGCGTGAACTCGTTGCCCGTGAAGGAGCCGTTTCCTGGGGCCTCTGGGATGCCGCAGGACACAGCTGAAAGGAATGACAGGGACGCAGGCTTATTCTCATAGGACTCCACTGTCATCTCAGAAACTTACAAACATTCCAAAGTGCATTTACATTAGCTCTATGCACATTTCCAAATCGTGAGGATGCACAGAAAGTGGGTCAGGATAAACTCGATGCGTAGTGACTCTGGAACTGAAGCTTCGGGACACACGCATGGCTCAAACCTGCTGGGACTTGTTCTAGCAGATGCTGTGTTCCAGGCAGCCCAGTGCCCTGCTGGCCACATTTAACACTGGACAGGAAGGAAAGGGGCAGGACACTGCCTTCACCATTACCAGGTTTATCTCCATGCAGGCTTCCTGACACTGAGATCCAGAGCGGTCTCCATGAGAGGGGCCGCTGGGCCTCGCAGGTGTCGGGATCTGCTCCTCACCCTTCCCTGCTTCAGAAGCCTTAAAGCAGAAAGGGATTAAGGATGTAAAATATGCTCTGGGTTGGATGTGATCTATCCCCAGGGCTCCTGTGTCGGGAAGGCAGACCCCAGAGTGGCAGTGGTGAGAGGTTCAGGAACCTTAAAGAGGTGGAGCCAGTGGGAGTTCACCACAGAATCCTGAGCAGGGAAGGGATAAGACAGTTCTCACGGAACTCGGATCAGTCCTGGAGAGGGGGTTAAAAGAACTAATGGGTTTCCTTGCTCTTCAGCACCCTGTTGCCACGTGATCACTTTCTGTCAAACATGCTCCTGACATGGCGCCATCTGTGAGGAGGACACAGCCAGGAGGCCTCACCACATCAAGCACCATGCAGATGGGACTCTGGCACCCAACCCATGAGCCAAACCAAACTATTTTCTTAACAAAATTATCTTGCCTCAGGCATGCCCTTATAGAATCAGTAAATGGACTAATACAAAATGCAAAAAGCTTGCCTGAGATTATCAGTGCCATTGTTACCATCAAAGTCTAGTGTTTTATAAATAAACTGTCAGAAAATAAGGTAGGGAGGGAATCAGGAAGAAGACTTTGATCAGAGGGCACAGCTCTACCAGACATGCAGATTTGCTTTTACTAGAATAAAATCTGCTTTTACTACAAGAAAGCAGAAGAATCAAGAGGAAGGTTACTTTTAAAAAACGTAAAACACACAGAGAATTCATTAAAACACTGTCTTTAATTTACTGACTCTGATGTGAACCTGAGTAAAGAAGAAGAGAGAGACACAGAGACAGAGGTCCCTTAAGTTAAATGATGTCATGTTTGATATGAATAGAGAGGCAGGCAAGAGTGTGCCCCTCTCAAGACTCACCTGATCCAGAAAGGTTTTGCAGTTAATAAATTAAGGTCCTCCTCCACGTTCAGGATTAAAGGTGGTGTTTAGACCATTGACTTCAGTCTGAATAATCTGAAAACTTCCCCAGGCAGATCCCCAGGAGAAGACATGTCTAGATGTGAGAGTTGGGAGAAAGGCAGTGCAGGGTTGCTCTAAACCTGCGACTTTATGTCAAAGGACTGAGCCTCAGAAGCAATGCCTGGGCGATGCTGCCCAAAGCCTGCACACATAGCCCGAGGTGACAGAGCGGCCGGGACCCAGCCCACTGTTTCTCACTCAGCATGGTGTCAGGGCATCTGTGAGTTAGCTTAAGATTTCACTGTTGTATCTTTGTTCTTTTTACTTTATTAAAATAGTAAATAAATACAATGGGAAAATACCAATGAAAGAAAAGAAAATGTGCTAAATAATCAAATTTCTCGAAAATCCAAAGTCTAAAGCTTCACTTGGTTATAAAAGTATGATTAGGTATTTCAACCACACACCTTCTGAAAGGTGTGTGCACATGCATGTGTGTGTATGTGTGTGCCAAGGGTGTGTGTGTGCATAATACTGTGTTTAACCATTTGCAACACATTGGAACAAAAACACAGGCATTGGGACATCATTTAGGGAAATTATTTGAAATCATAATAATCTCTAGTTTTCTACAGCCAGGGTTTTATCCAGGCAATATATACATGGAAAGGTTGTTACACATTTGCAAAATATTGATCTTACTTCACAAGGTGCAGTAATGGCACACATCATGTACTTTTCGATCCTGTTTATAATTTACAATGTCATTCTACAAGAACCCTTCCCAAGAGCTCTTGGATTTCTCTGGACAATCATTTGTTCACTGCCTCAAGCTGAAATTTCTCTTTCAGTTGCTGAGCTGGGTTCAGGGCCCAGTTCCCTTGAATTCTTAATTGAGGTGAGCAAGAATGAAATGACGTTTCTTCTGCAGGTCAAACAGGAAAGATGCCATTCTGCGGACATGGACAAAATCTTGACTTGAAGAGACTGCTGTCCAGGAGGCCAGCACAAACACATTTTCTTCTGCTAAGTCTGGAAGCTTTCAAATGAAAGTGAATTCTGGTTCTGAGGGGACCCACTGGAGGCTCGCCGACTGCCTGTATGTGGTCTGAGCTGAGGCTTCTCAATCCCAGGGTGCCTTGCAGAGCTGCCTGGTGGGCTGACCTTACAGGAGTCAGGCAGCCACTGAAAGGGTATGACAACATACCCCATGCTGAGGACAGTGAAGACCAGATGGTAAAATCTGGGCACACGGGTAGCCCCTGGACTTCACTCATCCGTGCTCTCAGGCTCATCATATTACCAACAGTCAGCATCCTGAGGACAAGACGCAAGCACTGAGAAAGTGGCAAATCGGGACGTCCACACTCATGTGTCTATCCACGTGCACACACACTCATATGTTATACGCACGTCTTTTGCAAATGAAGACATGAATCCCAAGGCCCAGCTCTGTGTGACCTACTTATTTAAAGAGGAAAAAGAGTGAGCTGTAGAAAGACGATTTATTTCTTTTATAGACCTTCTCTGAGATTTAATATTTAGTTCCAAAGTTATAAATGGAGACAGATTACAACGTGTAGTGCCATATGTTGCTTAAATTATTAGGAACCTTACAAGAGGTCTCTCCTTTGCAAACACAGGGCCATTCAGACGGCAGTCTCCCGTCAACGGTGGTCTCCCATGTCTCTGAAGCAGTGTGTGTGCACGTGTGTGTGGAAGGGGGGAGTGTGTGTATCTGCAAGTGCTGAGCACTGAAGCCAGGCCTCCTGCACGTGAGGCAGGTGCGTTGCCCCCTAACTCCATGTAGCACCCCCTGGAGGCTCAAAGGAATTTCCTGAGTGTTCCTCCCCTTCCTCACGTGATCCTTCTGTGTAACTCACCCCGGCTCCTTTGTTTTCTGCTTCCTGTCATTCCAACAACTTTCCGTTCCCTCTGCTCAACCATGACAGCCAATGGAAAGCGGCATTTCAATGTCTGACTGCTAGTGAATCAGAATGGACTTAGGTATTACCAAATGAATGGTGCTCAGAAAATCCCAAACTTTTAGTCCCATTTGAATTCAAAATGATCAGAGAAAACATGAGGTAAGGTGTAAGGAGACACAAGGAGTCAGACTCTGAACTAAAAATGGATTCAGTTTTGCCAACTTTTCCTTTTGTACAGCCTGTGCAACCTCAGTTTGCAGGAAGGTGGAGCAGAAATGAATCACTAAATTACTGTACCTGGAGTCTGAAAGTGCTCCAGTCCCTGACTAGCCTCTCTCTCTCTCTCTCTCTCTCTCTCTCTCTCTCTCTCTCTCTGTCTCTTTCTCTGTCTCTGCTCTGTCTCTGTCTCTCCCTGTCTGTCTGTCTGTCTGTCTGTCTCTCTCTCTCTCAGCTTGTCTGAAGAATATATATATATATATATATATATATATATATATATCCAACTGAAAAAGTTTTGGCCCAGACAGGACACTGTAGCTGGTGAAGCCTTAGAGGCGGAACCCAGGAGCTCGTATCTCCCCAACCCCTAGGAATTTACCTATGGCGTCAAACAAAGACCAATGGGCTACCTGTGCATCCCTAATGCCCCCTTAGGTTCCACCCCAAACCTAGGTTACTTATATGCCCCCCACGCCAGGTGTCCGTGAGAGAAAGCCAAACTCCAGTTGTCAGGGGGTTTTTGTTTTCTCTCTCCACATTCTCAGAATAAAGGCCTCTTTTGTTTTATACTTCTCATCTTTTGGACGCACTATATAATCTTATCATTTGGTGCCATGACTCGATAGGCAGGCGACTGACTCTTGGGGCCCACCCAGTTCGAGTCCCCGGCCGATTCATGAGCCAGATTACATCCTGGATTAATTCATTGCTTTTTGACTCACAGGACCTGCTTAATTTGTCACTAACTGCTGGCACACAACACTGGCCTGATTTATCACAGGTGAGCAAACTCCGGAGAATTCTTTGGCGCAGGGCTCGGCCCCAGGAGGGTTTTCTCCCCCTTTCTGTGGGTTCTCGTGACACTCTCACATCCTTAAGACAGACCGAGGCAGAGTTTCTCTGGACAACCCTAGGTTCACACTGAGAAACTCTCAAGTCCTTCAGAGCTTTAAGCTCTCACGGGCAGAGCTGTTACTAAAACCCATGAGAAATCTACTTGTGGATCTCTCAGTAGGGACTGAAAAATACGAGATTTGGAACCCTAACCACTATTTGTCCCAAAGGATGGGTGACGACCCAACCTCTGGACCAGGGCCCATTTCTCACCTGAGATTTCACTATGGGAAACATTTTTTCTACTTTCCAAAAGACACCTTTGCAATGCTTGATTTCCAATCTGAGCACTCTTAAAATTAAAAGAACCATAAAAACTAAACAATCTTTTACTACCAGGAGGCTTGGCTGACCTACCCACTTACCAGCAGCCCATGGCCCAAAGAGGGGACATTTGACCCCTGTATTCTCAAAAATTTATATGATTTTTGTCAAACTGGTGACAAGTTAGCAGAAATCCCTTACATACAGGCTTTCCTCACTCTGAGAATGTGCCCGTCTCTCATTAAATCCTGTACACCCACTCAGGTATTTTTAACTAACTCTGCTGCACCGCAAACTCTCCTCTCCTGCCCTCATGATTTGCTAGAGGAAGTACCCCTCATCTTTTATCCGTGGCCTCCTCTCTATCCCCAA